TTTGAATGATATTTGACCCATGCAGTGACTTTATGACCAGGCGCTGTACTTTATCCTCGCAGACAAGTCTGTGCCAATATAACGGCCCGTGAGCAACGGAAGTGTTATTTGGGCCAGGGGAGAGCTGATCTGGGATTTCTCCCCATCACACGCGTGACAAACGTCTGCCAGTAGACCAGCTCCGCCATAGTAGAACGTACAAAGATATAAATAAATGTATTGGAGCAACTCTTCCGCTTTCAGGCAAAATAACGTCGACTTGTAACTGGGAGCATGCGGTCAAGCATATCCAGAATGACCCACGTTTCCGTATCTTGACTAAGGTGATCAACGTTATGGCACCTATTGGTTACAGTTTTGTCTATTAAGTTGTTCCTTTTACAGGTATCGGAAAAGAAACAGCTTTTCAATGCATGGAAAGTACAACGTCAAAAAGAGGAACGGGTACGGTAAAATAGAGGTTCAGGCAGTTTTCTTTGTTCTGATTTAGTTAGCTCAGGATGAGAAACGTTTGGCGATAAAGAAGGCAAAGGAGGATCTCGAAAAATGGCTTCAAGATCACCCAAAGATGAAACCAGGTTTGAAGTACACGAGAGCTCGGGAAATCTTTGGTAAGGAGGCAGTCTGGCAAGCTGTACATGAAGATGATCGACAGGATATTTTCCGTGAGGCGCTTGTAAGTTCGTCCTTCTCACATTCTTCAGTGTGTATTGCATTAGGGGATATTGTACACCTTCATTCCCCCACAACTTCGAGGAGAGTAGATTGTTCATTCACCAGATGCGTTGTGATTTCCCCGTTGAGTAAGGATGCCGCTGTCGTGAGCAAGTCATTACTTTACGATTGCAGTAACGATTTTTAGGCCTATGTGACGAAAAGAGATGCTGATTTGAATCGCGAGACGAGGAAGCGTAATATCAAAGCATTGGCAGAGATTTTGGAGAGTATGGATCAAATCACGTACAAAACCACATGGGCTCAAGCACAGCGTCTTCTAATAGAGAATCCGCAGTTCGCAGACGATACAACACTACAAAGTATTGCTCTTACTTCGTTCGAAAGCCACGTTCATACTTTGCGACTGAGGA